AAGGTGTTCCATCGCCTCTCCCCATGGAAGCCTGCGTGGGAAGACCTCTGCCAATTATTCAATGAAAGCTGTTTCGGTTATTTTTTTTTTTTCCAGGCAAGAGAAAATCCTTTTGACCAAGGGAGGAGGCAGCTTAGCAGAGTGACAGCTACTTAAGAATCACCCACGTGCAAAATCTAGCCGAAGGCGGTGACCTTTTCAAGTGTGGTCCTTAGACACGAGTGACTACGCTGTCCAAACGCCCTGCCTGGGAGCCGGAGCCGGTTCTCTCAGAGCCACGGGGGCACCTGTCTTTGTTGTCGGCTGCTCCCGCTGTCAGATGGCTGGGGTAGACTCAAGGGAAGTGCAGACCCCTGAGGGCTCTGCTGACAGTACCAGGGGGATGTGAAAGAGGGGGCCCCTCTGTTCAGCTGGGGCTCACTCGCTTGCCTAATGGAGAGTGGTGGAACTTGCCTCACCCCAACATGGAGTGTCTTCTGCCTGGGATTGGGGCAGGAAGGCTGTTACTCAAACTTTCATTTTAGCATGGGAAAAGGCTAGCCCAGTTCTTGGCCTTCCACTTCCTGTTTGCTCCAGTCCCCAGGAGGGGCTGAGGCAAGAAGAAAAGAGGCCATGTCAGGTCTCTTCAATGAGTCCCAGACAACAGAGTAGAGTCTGGGTTAGCCAGATGTTGCCTAATGTGGCCCCTTAACAGGAAGCAGCAACAGTCCACCCCAGCAGGGGGTCACAAGAGGGCAGAGTTTTGGCTCTCATCAGGACCACTAGGTGAGAACTGTGCTTTGATTACTCTATTTTGGTTTATTGAGATAGGCTATCAATTTATAGCTCAGGCTAGCCTGGAATTGACTATATAGTGCAGGCTGGTCTTGACTCATGACTATCCTCCTGCCTCAGCTTTTCAGGCTACAGGCATGAGCTCTAAGAACCACACTTTATTTGATAAGACACCACTGGCTCAGTTAATCCTATTCATGGGGTAGAGGTGAGGTCTCTGAAGAGTACTGGGCTCAGTCACATGTTGGGGAAGATGCCTTAATCTTCCCAGACTGTGACTATGGAGAGAAAGGGGTTCACTTCCAGCTCGGTCACTGGTAAGCATAAGGAAGCAGGGGCATTTCTCTCCCACTTCTTTCCTCGGCTTCCTCTGCCTAGGGCGTAGAAGAAACTGCGACAGGAAGTCCTGGCTCCATGGTGGAGCACGGGAGCAGTTCACTTTTCATGTGGCTGACTGTGCCTATCTCTTTAACCCGCCTTCCTAACCTCCTTGTTCTAATGAGTGTCAAATGTCAGCGTGGCACAGCCTGGAGTCAACTGATGGTGTCTCAGTCAAGAGACCAGCCTGTGGCCAAGTCAGAGGGACTGTCTTGATCCACGGTTGATATGGAGGTGGCCCAGCTGATTGTGGGTGGCACCAGCCCTAGGCAGGTGGGCCTGGGCTGTATAAAAAAGCTAGCGAAGGCCTGGCAGTGGTGGCACATGCCTTTAGTCCTGGAACTTGTGAGGCAGAGGCAGAGAGATCTCTGTGAGATAGAGGTCAGCTTGGGCTACAGAATGAGTACCAGGAACATCAGGACTGTTACACAGGGAAACCCTGTCTTGAAAAACTAAGAGAGAGAGAGAGAGAGAACAAGCTAACATGTAGTGCTTCTTCATAGTTTCTGCATAATTTCCTGCCTTGACTTCCTCTCAGTGATGGACTGTGACCTGGAAGTGTAAGTCAGATAAACCCTTTCCTCCCCAGGAAGGCTTCCTTTTGTTCTATCAAAGCAGCAGAATGAAACTAGGACCCCCACCCCCGCCACCCTTACCCCTCCTAGCTCCCTGCCTGTCCCAAAGCCTAGAGGGTCCTGCTCAGCATGCCCCTACTCTCCAGGGCAGGCTGGGCATGCTGCTGTTGGCAGGACAAGTGTCTGTCCTGCCATCTGTGATGATGGGCAACATGCCAGGGGCTGCCTGTGTGGTCTTAAACCCATCTCATGGTAACACAGAGACAGGCACCTTGATTGTCTCCATGTACGGACGAGAAAACAGAGCAGCAAGAAGACCAGAACACACAGTGGGTGGTGGAGGCAGGTTCTAAGTCCCACACCCTCAGGAAGAGCTGTGCTTCTCTGTCATTCCATGTCACTTGGGGATGTGGCCCACTCCCTTCCGTTCCCCAGGCTTCATGTGCTTCAGATGCAGACAGAATGCCCAGCAGGGGGTGGTGGGTGGGAGAGAAGCCTGGGTGGGTCAAAGGTCAATGTGGGTCAATGTGTGACTCTGAGGAGGGCCGGGTTGGTGATTATGATCAAGATGGGGAAACTGAAGCCAGGCTGGGAGGCATGGTCAGGGTCAGGTCATGTGATGAGCACTAGACAGGGTCATCACTAGTGGGGCACAGTTTGGCTCTTTGGTGCTACCCTGTTGGGTTAAGACAGAAGGTTGTGGGTTCAAGATAAGCCAGTGTTATAGGACTCCCACGAGACCCCGCTCTCCTTTGCCATTCTCTGAGGTAAAATCCTAACCCTCTGGAAGGCCCCTGAGCTGTCCCTATCTCTGCATAGACCCCCCCTTCCCAGTCACCCCAGCATCCTGCTCCCATGTGCCTGCCCCTGGGAGCTTTCTCATGCACCCCTGAGAGTTCTCATCACCTCAACTCCACCCTGGTCAGTCAGGAAGTAGCGTCTCCTGTCCTGACGAGACTTGTCTGCTAGGAAGCTGGTCCCAGCCTCAGGCTGATTAAAGGGCTGGTGTGAGGCTGCCCCAGAGGCTGCCTGGAGCTGGCTGCAACAGGAAGGTCAGCTGCAAGCCGGCTGTGGGGAGCTTCCTGAGCTGGTGTTCCACGCACCCCCCCACCCGGTATGTCCCAGCTGATAGCCTGATTGGATTCTCCAGAGCGCTAGCAATCCCACCCACGTTCACCCACCCTCTGTTGCAAACAGGGAGGGGCCAGGCCAGTGCGTGCTCAAGTGCGTGTTGGGGGGTGGGGTCCCAGGAGAAGACCTGTGGGCCCTGCTGTCAGGCCATGCTGTGCTGTGTCCCCAGCATGGCCGGGGGAGCGGCACATGGCAAATGAGCCAGTGCGGAGATGGATTCGGGCGCTGATAATTTCAGACAGGAAAGCGCTGAGGTGTGTTTGATATTCATGTCAGACAGGCAGCGGATTGCGCCCAGGCCCCTTTCTATATCCAGAGAACCAGAGAGAGAGAGAGAGGAGGGATAAAGGAAGAGAGGGACAAAGAGGGACAGGGAAGAGGAACAGCGACCTTCCCATCATTCCTTTGGACTCCATGGAATGTGGCTTCTGAGGAAGGGGTCATCCACCATTCCCCTCTTTGTCTCCCCAGCCTTGCTTTCCAGAGCGGATCACAAGGCTTCATGCAGAGCCAAAGCAGGGCCATTCATCTCTCACTGAGCTCCAGGGCCCTGGGTCTCTCTGGCCATGCGTGCCGGTGCCTCAACAGCTGAGGCAATGGAACAACGTGCTGGGAGCAGGATTTAGGAGGGTTGCAACCGTGGGGACACAGTCCTTTCCCACCAGGCAGAGGTGAGGCCTCCAAGAAGCATTCACCACCCCTCACCCTGGAAATGAAAGGCCAGTGTCCCTGGATACTTACAAACACCTCAATGGTGACAGGGACGGTGCTGTAGAGAGGCGGGCTGCCAGCATCCTTGGCCATGACTGTTAGGTATATCAGTCCATTGGGTATCTGCTCGTAATCCAGTGGGCGGCTCACGCTGATCACTGGAATAGCAGGAACAAGGGCCTTAGCAAGCAGAGTCCAGCTGCCTGGGTTCAGAGCCTCCCTTGGGTACAGGCAGCATGGTGAGTCTCCTGGATGGACCTTTTTTGGTTTAGTGACTGCCAGCGCTAGGCTCTGTGCTGAGCACACCAACTGGTCACTATTGTGTAACTAGGCAACTTTGCCATCATTCCTCTGGACGCCATAGAACATGGCTGCCGGGGAAGAGTCTGCCACCATTTTCCATTTCTTTAGATGGAGACTAGGCCCTCAATGAAAGGCTGAGAGGTAGCCCACAGGACAGTGAGGTTCATCCAATGTGCCTCCTCCATGGACTCTAGTCACCTCAGGCTTCCCATCGTACCTGCACGGTTGGCCATGGGCCTAATTATGACACAGAGAAAGGTCTGCCTGGTGTGTGCTAGCTCTTGGCTTTGGGGAGATATGACCTCTGGCCACATCCTACTCCAGCCACAGGGGTCCAGCAGCTTCCAGAAAAGTGCAGGGTGTATAGGAGTTGTAGGGTGTCCCCACCTCTGGAGGGGCCATGACTGGAAGTGGCCCACCACCCCTCTTCCCAGCTGGGCCCTTTACCCTGCCCCCTTCGCACCTCCATAGCCTTCATAGATGCTGATGTCAAAGTAGCTGCCGAAGGCGGACGCGTTGACGATGCTGTAGGTAATCTGGTTGTTGGGAGGGGAGTCTTCATCTGTTGCCTGGAAGGAACGGAGCAGACACGGCCCAGTGAGCTCACCAAAGATGTGGGGCCAGGACAGCATGGTGGAGAAGCAGCCCAGCTCCTTTTGGCTCTTCTTTGGATGGTGTAGCTCAAGTCACCTCCTGGCCCAGGACTTCAGGGACCTTCTTATTCCTCAAAAGGAATCCACTCTCTGGCTCCTGGCAAAACTCTGTTCCCTCCACTTGTGGGCACAAAGGTGGGCTGGAAAATGGAGCCGGCTCTTCCAGGGGGTGACTGGCATATTTTCTGTTCCATCCCCAACACCTCACGTCATAGATGGCCCCCCAGAGATAAGACTGCTACAACTGCTATTCAGTTTGTCCCCAAAAGTTCATGTGTTAATGGCTTGGTTCTCGGGGTGGGTAGCATTAAGAGGTAGTGGAACTTTTAAGGGGTGGGGCCTCGTGGGAGGTGGTTATGTCATTGGAGGTTCTGCCACCAGCATGAATTAATGTAGTTTTAAGGGACCCTGATCAAGATCAAGTTACTATAGAAAAAGCATGCCTGACCTTGAATCTGTACTGTTTCCTATCTAGCTGTGTGAGCTTCCTCGCCTGATCCACTCACGATGCTGTCTACAACACTGTGAGGGAGCCAAGGGGCCCTAAGCCGAGGTCAAATTGATGGGCACACAGCACTTTGCTTCCTTTATAAAGTATGCAGCCTCCGCTACTGCGCTCCAGCAACAGAAAACAGGTTAAGACTGGGATCCTTGGGTATTCTGCTAGCGCTCTCACGCCCACTATAAGTTCTTATAATTGCTGCTTGCAATTAGTCCGTGGGTCTATGTGTACAGGGTCCTCTGGCTCTTGAGTGCAGCAGCATGCTGCACAGTCAGTTCCTATTAAATGCATGTTGCTTGTAAGTAAGAAGGGAAGCAAATATTCAGAAAGGGACCAGGGATCTTTCTTCCTTTGACTGTGGGGACCTCTTTCTAGAGTGTCTCTGACTCTAGAGAGCCTTCAGGGCTTTCCAGCATGCTAGCTGTACCTGGGGCCGAGTCAAAGGGAAGGGTGGGGACTTTGGGGAAATCATGGCAGGCTAGGCTCATATCTTTTGTGCACCCGTGCCCACTCTCCACCCTTGCCTTCATCACCGTTTGTTTCAGAAACAAGCTCCAAGGAGAGAGCCTGGGTCCTGTCACTTTGGCTCTGAGGATGGGGAAACAGTGAGGGGACATGAATTCTCTGGTTAGAGATCACTGCTGTGCGTTAGGGACTTGCTGTATGGGACTTAGGCAGACCAGAGCCTCATTTCAGGTGGGCCCTGCTCTCTCCCCACAGGCTGTTCCTTCCCTGCCCATCTCTCCCTTGCTTCTCCTTTTGTGGTTTCTGTGGCTACTTTATGTGTGTGTGTGTGTACACTCTCAAGTATGTGTGTGCACCTGTGTGCAGATACATGTGCACCTGTGTGAGTGTGTGTGGATGCCAGAGGTTGACATCACGTGTCTTTTTCACTGTTTTTTTTTTGCCTTATCTTTTGAGAGAGGGTCTCTCTCTCCCCCCACCACCTCCTCAATTTTTTAAGACAGAGTTTCTCTGTGTAACTATCCTAGCTGTCCTGGGGCTCACTCTGTAGACCAAACTGACCTCAAACTCACAGAGATCTGCCTGCCTCTGCCTCCTGAATGCTAGAATTAAAGGCGTGTGCCACCACCTCCCAGTGAGGGTCTCTCTCTCACTGAAACTGGACCTTGCCAACTGGCTAACATGGATCTTCCTGTCTCCCCTCCTCCGCACTGGAATCGCAGGTGTGAGTCAGTTTTGACAGGGACATTCAGGACTGAACTCAGGTCCTCATATTTGATGGCAGGCCCTTTCCTACTGAGCCATCTTACCACACTTATAGTGGTCTTGCAACGGGACTGACACCCCACCCTGTGGCCTCGAAAGGGGCATGGCGGGTGTCTTTAGGCTAGATGGCCTGACATCTGGGTTGAGGCAAACACGCTGAATGCGTCCCTTCTGGGTCTCTAGGGGCAGGAGGTGATGCTCAGAGGAGCTCCAGGCATGTAAATGGGAGTCTGGTACCACCTGTGAGAACTCAGAAGGAGCTAGCAAGCGCAGGGCTCCCAGGCCTTACCCTGAGCCGCACCAGCTGCGTGACAGAGGGCTCATTCTCCCTCAGGGCACCCACGTAGGCATCCTTCTGGAAGGTGGGCACATTGTCATTGACATCCAGCACATTTATCCGGACCCGGCCTGTGGTCTCCTCACCACCGCCATCCCGGGCGATGACAGTCAAGGTGAAGCGCTGGATAAGTTCGTAGTCCAGCCGAGCTATGAGCACGATGAGCCCCGTGTCCTTGTCCAGTGAGAATCTGTGTCAGGGAGGGAGGAGGGAGAGGATGCAGAGGAGGCCAGGATTAAAGCACGTTGTGGGTGAGCTCCAGTGGGGGCCAAGGACTAGGTGACAGGCCCCTCTCTGTGAGGGGGAGCTTTGCCCACTGGGTGAGTTTAGATAATAGAGAACTGGGGACACAAATTCTGCTGTCTGATAGTTGGAGAAGGGTGCTGGGTCCTCTTTTGGAGCTGATACTGTCATTTGCTGGAGGGATCAAGCCTTTGGGAAGAGGCTGGTAGGAGTGTTCTAGGGATCATGAGGGCCAGTGAGACCAACCCTCCAGCTATCGCCTTTAGGGGTGCCCGTTAGAAATCCACATGAGCTACCAAGACCGTGTGTATGCGCTGCCTGTCCAGCAGCTGCCAGCATTCACGCCTGGAAGGGTGCTTGGGAAACCCTGGGTCCAGAGATGGGAAGAGAGGAGAGAGTCAGGATGACCAGGAACCATGACCACTGGGCTCCTGAGAGAGATGCTGCCCTGTGCATCCAGCCACTGCTATACGTCTACATAGTGTTGGGGCCTCTGTCGCAGAGTGTCTGGCATTGCCAGTGACACCTTATAGGGTCCCAGTTTCTCCTTGATCATCCATAGACTGTCTGGGCTGTTAATGCTAGTTCACAGCCAGACTGCCTCACTTGGTTGGGCTTCCAAATACATGTGACTTCTCTCTCTCTCTCTCTCTCTCTCTCTCTCTCTCTCTCTCTCTCTGTGTGTGTGTGTGTGTGTGTGTGGTGTGGTGTGTATGGTGTGTATGTATAATAGTGTGTGTGCAAGTGTACTTGTTTACACATGTGTATGGAAGGGCTCCACTTTGTTTTTTTGTGACAGGGTCTCTCACTGACCCAGAGCTCAGGCTATCTGGTCTGTGAGCCCCACAGGGCATCCTCCTGTGTCTCCCTCCTCTGGGATTACAAGCATGTACCACCATACATACCTGGCTTTTTCACTTGGGTTCCAGGAGGATCGAACTCAGATCCCCATACTTGCATGGTAAGTACCTTCCTGACTGAGGTGTCACCCCAGCCCTAGGCTGCTCATTCTCAGCAGCGAACCTGCCCTGTGGCTTCAACTAGGACTTTGAACATGTTCAATTGGCAGGTCTCCCCGGCCTCTGATAAACTGATGGCAAGAGGCAGACCAGGTCTAGATGAAGGACTGCATTACCCCCATGTGCAGGGAAGCACAGAGACATGTGGTCCATCTTGGAGCTGCTGTATGCCAAGAGTCACCCTCCTGGTAGTGGCCATGTGGCCTGGCAGTAGAGGCCATGTATAGAGGCCTAGCCCTGTTGCCTACCAGCTATGTGAATTTTTGTAAGTCACCCAGCCTCCTGGAGCTGTGATTTCCTGTCCGATGGAACTGAGGAGAGTTCTGAGAACTGAACTCCCTATTAGTGACAAGGGACGATCTAGGACTAAGGCCAATGCATGGTGAGTGTTTGACAGAGAATCTGGTGCACAGTGGGGCCTCAAATGTCCTCTGTGGCCTCTGGTGGCAGGAGGAGCAGTGTTCAAACTTCTGGGCCTCATAGATGCCTGCTTCTCCACTCCCAAAGCTATTTCCAGAGAAACCCTGTACCAGAGAGCTTAGGGGCTTAGCAAGCTGGTTCCAGCTAGAACCAGACAAACAATCTCGCTTTAGAGCAGTGGTTCTCAACCCCTTTGGGGGTCAGATATCAGATATTTATGCTACGATTTATACCAATATCAAACTTACAGTTATGAAGTAGAAGCAAACATAATTTTATGGTTGGGGGGTCACCATAGCATGAGGAGCTGTATTGAAAGGTCGCAGTGTTAGGAAGGTTTAGAACCACTGTTCTAGGGTTCAGATTCTCAGAGCTCCCCTGGGCACAGGGCAGTTTGCTGGACTCTATGGCTCATCAGAAGCTTGCTGTCAAGAGGCCGGGGCAGGAACTCACCTGTCAGGGTCATCACTGAAGAAGTAGTTGACTTCCCCAAAGGTGCCCACATCATTGTCGGTTGCCTGCAGTGGTAAAAGGGGAGATGGTGAGTGGCAGGCTAGGAAAGAGCCCAGACACCCATGTCCCTTCCATGTGCCTCCTGTGGCCCAGGCAAATTGCCCAGAGCCTGTGCTGTTCAGCAAGGTGGTCCCTGGCCACAGGCGACTTGTCAAGGCACATGGGGGAGCACAGTCCTTCTAGAAGGCTTTGGTGGCTGGGGTCATTGGCTTCTGTTTCACCCTGGACACGGCTGCAATCTGAAGATGCCGTCCAGCTTCTCCTTTCCTTTCCCCTCCTCCTCTCTTCTGCCTTGCAGATTCAGCAGGTCCTCCCCATGGGTAGGCACTGTCCTCGACCTGAACTCTGGCCCCTTCCTAGGCAAATGCTTTGGAGCTGGTGAGCTGTGGCCTGCCCCCAGGTACCAGTTTGCTGGGCTGACCTTGGGGCTCACTTACACTGGCTTTATTCTCAGGCTTCTCTCCAAGATGGTATGTGAATAGAGACGGTAGCTAAAAATACGCTTTAATGCCCCTCCGCTCAATATTTTCTGAGGTTCTTTTTTAAAAGCTCCCAGATTCTATGAAATCTATTAAATTCTATGTTCTTTATAATAAACCTGAATTTTCATGAGAAGCTAATGTGTGCTTGGTATATCCAGCTCCGGAAGGCAGATAGATGAATAATATATTTCTATCCCAAATGAATGAAATGAAAAATATGTTTATACCCAGAGAATTAAGACCTTAGTTAACCAGAAAATGTGGCTATTCATAAAGATGCCATTTCTGAGGGCTCTGGGCTGCCTGTTTTCAGGGCACTGCCTCCTGCGCCCAGTTTCCACAGCAATGGTCCTAGAGTCTGTGTGCAGACAGCTGCTACCGCTCCCCCCATCCTCCACTGTGATCCCAGCCAGGTTCAGAGCCGGGTTAAGCTCCTCAGTGTATATGCTGTGCCGAGTTAATACAGAAGCAGACACTGACTCCCCAGGGCCTCCCCTGCCCAAGCCACTCCTCATGACAACTGGAGACTTAGTGCCGCCCCCACACAGAGATGTCATTCTTATACCAAACCCAAATGACAGATGGGGAAACAGAGGCACCACAAAAGTCCATCGTTTACCCAGGTATCACAGCTTGAAACAAAGCTCACTTTGTATCTCATGCCCCTGACTGCTGAGCGGAGTCCTCTAACCCCAGAGGAGCACTGTTCCAGAAGGAAAGGAGCCTGGGTGTTCCAGGGCAGAGGGGACCGCAGCGCTCCT